TACTGAGATTTTGATCAAGACTATTGAATCTATAGATAAATTTTGAGGAGAATAGATGTCTTAACTATATTGAGTCTTCCAATCCCTGAGCATGGGATAATGCTTGATTTACCTAGGTCTTTTAAAATTTTTCTCAGCAATGCTTTTTTATTCTTCAGTGTACAGGTCTTGTGTATCTTTTATCCTAAGTATTTCATGTTGTTGATGCTATTGTAAATGGTAATTTTTTAGTTTCAGTTTCCAACTGGTCATTGTTAGTATATAGAAATAAAATTTATGTTTGTATATTGATCTTGTATCCTGCAGCCTTAGTAACCTATTTCAATAACTTTTTTAATTTAACAAAGCTATAATGATGAAGATGGTATGTTATTAGCATAAGGATAGACAAAGAGATCAATGGAACAGAATAGAGCCTAGAAGTAGACCCACAAATATATGGACAACTGGTTTTGACAAGGTGCAAAGCAATTCGTTAGAAAAAGAATTGTCTGTGCAATAAATGGTAGTGGAACAGTTGGGTATCCATCTGCAAAAAGAAAGAAAGAAAGGAGGAAAGAACTTTGACCCATACTTGTACCATATAACAAAGTTAATTCAAAATAAATCATATACCCAAATGTAAAGCCTCAAACTATAAAACTACTGGAAAAAATTAAAACAGGAGGAAGTCCTTGTTGCTTGTAGCAGAGATTAGATACAACACCAAAGGCACAATTCATAAAAGAAAAGCTTGACATATTTGACTTCACCAAATGAAAGCTTCTGTTCTTCAAAAGACACTGTCAAGAGATTGAAAATACAAGCCACAGACGAGGAGAAAAATCTTTGCAAAGTATGTATCTGTATCCAGGATATATATAAACTCTCAAAACTCAATAATAGGAAAATAAATAAGCAAATCAGTTTAAAAAATTAGGGAAAATTTTTGAAAAAACACTTCACCAAAGAAGTTGAACAGATGGCATTTCAGCACATGAAAAGATGTTCAACATCATTAGTCACTGGGAGAAAGCAACTTAACTACAATGAGATAGCACTATACTTCCTCTTAGAATGGCTGCAATTAAAAAGGCTGACTGTCCAATATTGTGCTCGCTAAAAGAAGCCAGGCAATGAAGAGTACATACTGTATAATTCCATTCATACAAGTTCTAGAAAGAGCAAACCAATCTTTACTGATAGGCAGCAGAGAAGTGGGTGCTTGGGGACAGGAGAGGGAATCGGGGAGGAATGGGAGATGGTTTCCTCGGTGTTTATATATGTCCCAAGCTGTACACTTTAAATATGTTCACTTTAGGTCAATTATGCCTCGGTAAAGCTATTTAAAATATTGATAAAGGGTTATAAGAGTGAGTTAAAGCAAAACAATCCCAGATAGAACCAAACGACAAAGAAATGTAAAATATGAGAGAGGAAAAATAAAGGCACATTGAGGAGAAGAGAGTCTACTCCTTATCCTTGGTGTTCTGAAATTTTATCATGAATGTAGTTAGTTATATATTAGTTATATATTTAATTAAATGTGCCTTTTCACTTATCTTCTCGCCATTCAGTGACCCCTTTGAATTTCTCTCTCTTTGCCTTTTGGAAATATTCTTCCAGTATCTCTTGGATAACCTCCTCTACCACGATCAGGAATTGGGTTCAGGTGTTACAGAAGATAGAGCTGTGAGAGGGAAGGGCATGGTTGGAAATCCCCAGATCCCCCCCTGTCTGTGTGAGTGGGAGAATTGTCTGTCCCCAACAGAAATACTCCTACCCCATCAGTCCCCCATAAAAGATGGGAAATGGATTTCTCCAGACTTGAGGACACCAGGTGAAGAGTGAGACTATAGTAAGTGGTGAAAAGAGTCCAAGTTATATTTTCTCACATGTTCTGAATGCATATGGCTGGGTTTAAATCACTCCATTCAGGAGATTAGAAAATTACTCTCTGGAGCAACTAAGCCATCCCATAGAAAAGATCTGCATAGCCTAACAGCTGAAAGTGCCCAGTAAAAAAAATCTGGCTAGCCATTTAGTTGTGGCCTACAGTGAAGCCACCTGTGGCAAGCCATGCACACAGGGCTTCCAAACAGCCTTTAGGAGCTCATTCCTATATACTATTGAACAAGCAAGCATCGTCAGGAAAGACTTCAACATGAAAGAGTCAAAAACAGACCATCAGTCCCCCATAAAAGATGGGAAATGGATTTCTCCAGACTTGAGGACACCAGGTGAAGAGTGAGACTATAGTAAGTGGTGAAAAGAGTCCAAGTTATATTTTCTCACATGTTCTGAATGCATATGGCTGGGTTTAAATTCACTCCATTCAGGAGATTAGAAAATTACTCTCTGGAGCAACTAAGCCATCCCATAGAAAAGATCTGCATAGCCTAACAGCTGAAAGTGCCCAGTAAAAAAAATCTGGCTAGCCATTTAGTTGTGGCCTACAGTGAAGCCACCTGTGGCAAGCCATGCACACAGGGCTTCCAAACAGCCTTTAGGAGCTCATTCCTATATACTATTGAACAAGCAAGCATCGTCAGGAAAGACTTCAACATGAAAGAGTCAAAAACAGAGAAAAGGTACCCAGTGGAAATATAAAGAAGAGAAGATTTTGCTTCCAAAATTCAGAGAACAAGAAAGAGAAAAATGCAGAGAATAAGAAAGAATTCTTGAAATTAAAATTGTTGATAGCAGAAATGAAAAACATAATAGAAATGAAAACTCAAACATAAAAAAACAATGAAATGGATTGTAGCAGAAAAAGGATGAGTAAAGTAGAGCATCCATACGATAGGAACTATAGAACTTTCAGTACATCAGAGAAAATGAAGGGGAGGATATAATCTAAGAAATAATATAAGGAAGTTACCCAGACTAAAAGATACGAGTTTCCGAATTCAGAGGGTAGGCAGAGAGCTCAGCATGATAAAATTTAAAGACCCAATTCAAAGCACATCCTCAAGACTTTCAGAGAAAGAGAACAAATCATAAATAAAAAATAATGTATTCATATTATTAGCATCTTTCTCAAATGCAAAATTAGAAGCTAAAAAGCAATGGAGCCTTTGAAATTCTAAGTGAAAATTATTTGAAACCTATAGTCCTATACCCACCCAAACTATAAATAATGTGAGTGAGGAATTAAGATACTTTCAGAAACATGCAGTTTCAGAAAATTCCCTCTTAGGAAGCTACTGAAGTATATGTTCAGTATATACTTACTTAGTTAATTACCATAAGTAAGCCAGGAGAGGTGAAGACACAGAATCCAGGAAACAGGGGTTTTAACACAAGGGGGAGATAAAGGAAATTCCCAGGGTGATGGTGAAGGTAGCTCCACTCACCTGTTACAGGAAAGGACAGAGGCTCTAGGAGGGAGGCCCCCAGGGAGAAAGTGAAATGAGAGGTTATGTAACAGTGAATGTAGAAGGTAAAGAAGAATATTACAGAGCTTTTAATTGTATGGAAAGCCTTGAGTATATGTTAAAAAGAAACCCAAATAAATGAATATTTGTAGCAGGAGAAATAAATTGTACTGGGAAGGAAACAATAGTGAACAATATTTTGAAAGACTGGTAATGAAAACAGAGCATGGATATAATTTCTTAAAACTTTAGCCCTGTAACTACTGGGAGAATGAGCAAGAGAGAGAGGAGGAGGGACATTAAAATCCACATTATCATAATAGGAAGTCAGTTGATTGTATTTTAAATAGATGAATTAAGAGATAGTGGTACTTACATATTATTTAGAAATAATGGTGACATATTTCAGAACAAGCAGCTTGAAGCATTTTAAGCGGTCACTTCTGGGGTGTGTTTCCTTTAAAAAAATTTTTTTCGTTGAGATATAATTAACATTTAATATTGTATAAGATTAAGGTGTGCAATGTGTTGATTTGATACATTCATGTATTGCATTATGATTACCGTGGTGTGTTTAGGGTGTGTTTCTGTGTGGATATTGGATGAAGTCAGAATATGACAAATTCGGAAACTAAAATTAGAAATTGGGGAGAATCTTTCCTAGGTTGAGTTATGGATAAAGCTTAAATGTGACAAATCAGGAAATATCAGTCCAAGCACATCACTTACAGAGGTTACCTCTGGTGAGGTAAACATCAGAAGAGCCACATCTGCAAACTGTTAGAAATGGCCACACCTGTGGAATTTGGAGTGGGGGCATTGCTTTTGTCACAAACCCTTTGGAGGCCATTAAGCCTGGAGGGGCGCAGCTCCTCCCCAGGATTCAGGGCAGGCCCATCCAGTGCGCTGCTGAGCAGGAAGGTTCGCCTGCCTGTCGCTGAGCATTGTAGACATCCTGCCCGCGTGTGTATTCATGCCCCCTCCTCCTGGGTATCCCCAGTGGACAAAGCCTGGGAAACTGCCAACCTGCTTGTTGGAAATTGTGTTTGTTTTTCATGCTCTGGGTCTGAGCACAGATGTGGATTACAAGTGGGGACCCAGTTTTCTCATTTCGCCTTGAGACCCTGCGCTGGGACACTCGGGACTGGAAGCATAGCGGCTGGTCCCACAGCTGCCCAGGTTTACTGCCTTTCTGCTTTCGGCTGGTTAAACATCGCCAGGGCAAGGCCCCTGGCTTGGGTCCTGTTTCCCCGCTGCCCGCAGGCTCCCCGCCCAGGTGACTGGTGGGCGGAACCCTGTGGGACTCCCTGCACCCTGCCCGCTGCCTGAGAGGAGCTGTCCCTGCCTGAGAGGAGCTGTCCCTGCGCCGGGCGGGCATCTGTCTGCGTCAAAGATGATTCATTCCAGGGAGAGCCTTGGTGACCCGGTTCAGACAGGCTGTTGGTTTCATTTTTATTTAAACTAACAACTCTCAGGCAATACATGCCCGGTGCTGTGCAGACGCTGGGGTGCATGGGTGCGCACGGCTCTCCTCACTCCTGGCTTCTTTCTCCAAGTGGGACCTTAGGACGTGTGTGTTCCTCCCGGGCCCGGGGAGGCTCTTGGGAGAGTTTCTGAGCGGCGTGCTTTTATTTCTCTGTCCAGAGCATGAATGGCTGCGAGGAAGGTGTGGAGTTCCTGCCCGCCAACAATGCCAGGAAGGTGGAGAAGCGGGGCCCGAAGCGCTGGGTGGTGCTGCTGACAGCGCTCGCCGGGGTCTGCGCGCTCTCCCTCGCGGCCGGCCTCCTGGTGTGGCACCTACAGTGTGAGTGGGCGGGGGCGGCCGGGCCTCCTCTCTCCGTGGACAGGCGCAGGGGCCCCCGTGGTGGACGAGAGGGCGAGAATGCCGGGTGCAGAGGGCGTGGCCTCGGCACGGTCCCCACCCCTCCCTGCTCTGAGTGGGGAGTGGTGGCAGTTGCCTGGGATGGCCCAAGCCGGCCTCAGCCTCACCTATCCACGCAGCCCTCCTGGCCTCACTCCCCCAGGGTGGCTGAGGACGGTTGGTGGACAGTGGGGGGACACGTGGGGGCGGTGTCACTTGCTCTGACCACTCTCCTCCCCTTGTCTCTCATAGACCAGAACATGCGGGTCCAGAAGGTCTTCAATGGCTACCTGAGGATCACAAATGAGAACTTCCTGGATGCTTATGAGAACCCGAACTCCACTGAGTTTGCAAACCTGGCCAACAAAGTGAAGGAGGCGGTGAGTCCCGTCCCTGGGCGGGGAACCCTGTCCCATCTGCCCGGGCAGCACCAACCTGGCTGGGGCAGACGGGACACACCTCTCTCTGCTCCCAGATCCCTGGGCTGGCGTGTGACATGGGCTTCTAGGAGGTCCCTGGGAAGGGGTCCCGGGAGGGTGGGGTGGGCCCTCGCTTGGGGCCAGGGCTGCTGCCTCTCTCTGGCCTATTGTGAGCCTCCTCTCCTCCCTCAGCTGAAGGTGTTATACAGTAGGGTCCCAGCCCTGGGCCCCTACCACACGGAGTCTGCTGTGACTGCCTTCAGGTGCGTGTTGGGGAGATGGCTGGGTGGGCAGAGGGCTGGGAGTGGGATCACTGTGGTGTTGTGTGTGGGGCTTAGTGCCACAGCCTGTGGGCTGCCGGAGCTGTGCGGCCCTGGCTGGGAGAGCCCGGCGCCAAGCCTTGCTCTATTTAGCACCTCTTCTGTCTTGGTAGCAGTACCTGTAGAGTTGGCGCTGGGATGAAGTGTGTGGGTGCAGGTAGGGTGCTTAGCACGGTTCCTTCCCTGCAAGCCATTCAGGAACCGTGGTGATTGCCTGTTATTTCCCACCTTCAGGTCTGGGAGGGTTGAGGTGTGAGGAAGCCTGCAATGCATCTGCACATACATTTTCCTTGCTTGGGCAGCCTTCAAGATACCCAAAAACCTTTTTTTTTTCTTTAGATAGACTTATCTTAAAAGTACTTTTGATTTGCTGGTTTAATTTAGTCTTTACAAACGCTGTGTAGCAGGTGGCTTCTCAGCCCCTTTCAGAGGTTGGTTAACAGACTTAGGAAGTCATTACCTGGGGTGCCTGAGCCAGTGGTAGAGCCATGACTCCAGTCCTGGCTTTTTCCTCACCCCTGAACCTGAGCTGGTCTCGGGACACACGCGGTTGTGCATGAGACTGTGAGAGCCGCAGGTAGGGAGCAAGACCTCTCGCTTAGGGCATCAGGAATGGGTGAGTGTGGAAGAGAGTCACGGGCAGCCCTGCCTGGGGAAGGTGTCTTGGTGAACCCCGTTGGGGCCTGAGCTGCACTTGGCATCTGGGAAAGCGTGGGGACAGGTGGGGTGCCTGGAGCCCACCCAGCCTCATGCTGGCACCTGTCTCTCCAGCGAGGGCAGTGTCATCGCCTACTACTGGTCGAAGTTCAGCATCCCCCAGTACCTGGTGGAGGAGGCCAAACGCGCCTTGGCACAGGAGCAGAAGGTCACTCTGCCGCCCCGGGCCCGCTCCCTGACCTCCTTTGAGCTCACCTCGGTGGTGGCCTTCCGTGAGTGCAGGGGCCCTGGGGGTGGGCACATCTCTGGCCAGCCTTTGGTGGAGCAGGAACCAACATACCAGGGCACGGAGAGAAGACTCTGCCTGCTGGCTGGGCCCCTCCCTTGAGGGTGACGAGGAAATAGACCGTATCAGTAAATACTTTATTCTCCCTCTTGTTCTTCAGCCACTGACCCCCGAACAGTACAGACCACCCAGGACAGTGAGTATGATGCCCTCCTCCAGAGAAGAGGAGGGATGTGGCCAGATGCCCCTTTAGTCTAGGTGGTCCCCAAAGGCCACGCATACCCCTCCACCTCTCTGAGGCCATGAGAAATCCCCTTCACAGCCTCTCCAACGTCTGGGGCAGCCTGGCCTGTCAGAGGGGCCAAGCCTGGGTGCACCCCCAGTGGGGCTCTGGGTTGCTCACCCTGCTGGCTCTGCCCAGTTCTGCCCCGACGTCCTCTTTGTCTCCCACACAGACAGCTGCAGCTTTGCCCTGCATGCCCATGGTGGGGAGCTGACTCGCTTCACCACGCCTGGCTTCCCTGACAGCCCCTACCCAGCTGGTGCCCGCTGCCAGTGGACCCTGCGGGGGGATGCTGACTCTGTGCTGAGCCTTACCTTCCGCAGCTTTGATGTTGCCTCCTGCGACGACAGTGCCAGTGACCTGGTCATGGTGTATGACTCCCTGAGCCCTGTGGAGCCCCGTGCCCTGGTGCAGTGAGTGTCTGGGGCAGTAGAAGTGGGCTGCGGGAACTTGGCAGCTACCCTTGGTGGGTCAGGCTTCTGGAGTGAACTGTAGTGTAGACTGGAGATAGAGTGTGTGAGTCTTGTCCACAGAGCACAGTAGACTTGCAGGCAGCAGAGAGCAGGTGTGGGGTGGCCTACAGCATGAGCTCCAGAGAGCATCTCAGAGGGGATCTCATCAGCCTTGGCAAGGTGTGGAAGGCTTGCTGGCCCCTAGATGCCAATGGGCAGGGGGCACTTCCTTTACTTGCCAGAGAGAAGGTGTGGCCTGCTTTGTAAGATGGAGCTTTTATTATTACTCAGGTGTGAGGCCAACTGATCAGGAGTCGGCCACTATTGGGAAAGTAGAGTGTCACTCACAGTTCCCAGGAGGAGGGGCCATGCGGGAAGCACCAGGGTCAGTCAGGAGGCAGAGAGGGCTGCAGGGAAACGTGGGCAGGAGCCTTTCCTGTGGTTCCCAGGAAAGGCGAGACGACGCAAGGCAGGACATGTAAGTTTAGGATTGGCTGGTTTGAATAATTCTAGTGGACTCTGGGGCTTGGGGGCTATCTTTAGTACCTGTGACTAGGACAGGTGAGGGTGGCCTGAGTGTAGGTGGTTGAGGGGTAGGCTCTGGATCGGTTAGTTTGCATATGAAAGGCTGATTCTGTATCTCTAGGAATTGGGTCGCCCTGGGAGGACTAGTCTCTGCAGGATCAGCAAGTCTGCAGATACCAAAGCTTCAGTATTATAGGGAATAAAGGGGTATGTTAACACCTCTGAGAAAGGGCAGTGCCAAGGTGAATGCCCGCCCCAGGCAGCTGCATACCAGGATGGGGCAGGCCCCAGAGGGGCTTTGGGTCGGGGTGAACTGCCCCTGCCCAGCTCTCCTTGACTCAGTGGGCCAGCGCCTTCTAGTGCCATCTGCGGAAATGAGCTGGGCAGATGGCTCATGATTAATAATTGGCTAACATTCGGGCACCGAACAAGACAGAACCATCTGCTGCCACAGCTTAGCAGCCAGGACTTCTGTCTAAACACCCTTCTGTGCAGTTTCTTTCCTTTGCTCTAATTTATTATTTGTACAACAAACAAATACATGGTCCTGAAAGGAAAACGTGGAGACAGATGCACACAACAGGGGCAAACATCATTCATAATCTTTCTATGTGGAGATAATCACTTGAATTTGTGATATATATTCGTCCCGATTTTTTCTGTGTATGTGTACGTTTTTGTGTATATTTAGAAATGAGCTTATATGGCACATTTGGTTTTATGCCTCCTTTTAAAAAATGGAGTAGTTACGATGCTCTTCCAGAATCAGTAAACCCGCCCCTGTCATTTTAATGGTTGCGTAACGTGGTGTTGTTTTGAGGCAGCCTGACATGGGCTCTGGAGGCTGAATGCTGAATTTGAATTTCAGCCCTGCCCCTTGGAACTGTGGCATCTCGGGCAAAGTATGTCACCTCTCTATGCCTCGGTTTCCTTTTCTGTGAAGTGGGGTTAATAGTATTTACCTCTTGGAGTTCTGAAGAATTCCTGAGTCGACAGACATAGAAGCATGAGGATAGTGCCTGACATGTTCAGTAAGTGTTCGTTGGTGGTGCTCTTACTGCTACTGTACTGTTATTTTCAGCCCATAGTTTATTTAATGAATCCTCTACTGCTCGGCTCCCAGTTTTGGAGTTTTTGCTGTTTCAAAGACAATCTTACAATTAAATCCTTACTCAGGTCTCTGATGGTTTGTATGGGGAGGGGCTTTTTGACCCCAGCCTGCGCCTTTTGCGGACAGGCCCCTGGCTGGGGTGGGGTCCTTGGGCCCTTCTGCGTGGGTCCTGTCTGCTCAGTGCCTGCCCCTTCTGCCCCCACAGGCTGTGCGGCACCTACCCGCCCTCCTACAACCTGACCTTCCTCTCCTCTCAGAACGTCCTGCTCGTCACGCTGATAACCAACACTGAGCGGCGACATCCTGGCTTTGAGGCCGTGTTCTTCCAGCTGCCAAAGATGAGCAGTAAGGAAGGGCAGGGGGCACGAGGAGAGGGGACAGGCTAAGGGGCTGGCCTGAGCTCCGGAGAGCCGGTGCCTGTGCCAGGTGAGCTGGCCCAGGTTAGCGGCAGAGATTTGAAGCATAAGCCATAGGCCTTTAACCCCTCCCCTGGGTCAGGAGCCCTCCCTGAAGCAGCCAGCCTCCCAGCAACTAGCTTGGCTGGCTTCCTCGGGTCCCCTTGGGCTGCTAGCCCGGCCCAGAGGTCTTTGGCCCTCACGCTCTTTCTCCTGCCTTTCCTCTCAGGCTGTGGAGGCTCCTTACGTGACGCCCAGGGGACATTTAGCAGCCCCTATTATCCGGGCCACTACCCGCCCAACATCAACTGCACATGGGACATTGAGGTAGGAACTGTGTGTGGAGCACAGAGAACGCACTTGTGAAGAATGCACTTTTTGGGTGGCAGCCAGATAAGGGTCTGCCCCCCATATCCTGGTCAGAGACCCTTTTCCTTCTTCCTAATGTCAGCCACTAATGTCCTTCCTAATGTCAGGAGAACTTTCCAGCCTTCTTTAGTATAATAGAGTTTAATATAATAGTGTCACCTCTGAGGCTAGAAGTTCTTCCAAACATCCAAGCTGAATTACTCAGGCTGTGTCCCGTGTCACCACACGGTCGGAGAGGAGGAACTGCAGCAGCACCCCCACCAGCCCCTGCGCCACCATGTGGTGTCCTTGGGTTTGGGAAGGAGGGAAAGAAGGAGCTGAGACCAGCTGCATCTCTGTCCATAGGTGCCCAACAACAAAAATGTGAAAGTCATCTTCAAACTCTTCTACTTGTTGGAGCCCAGTGTGCCCCTGGGCAGCTGCCCCAAGGACTACGTGGAGGTCAACGGGGAGAAGTGAGCACCCGGGAAGGGGCCCAGTGCCCGTGCGGGCCTGATCCCTGGCGTGTGGTCCTCATCCTGCTGTCCTCCGCCTTCTCCAGGTACTGTGGAGAGAGGCCCCAGTTTGTCGTTACCAGCAATACCAGCAAGATCACCGTCCGCTTCCATTCGGATCAGTCCTATACCGACACGGGGTTCTTGGCTGAGTACCTCTCCTATGATTCCGGTGACCGTGAGTAAACATCTTTAGGAGGGGAGCCTTGCTAGAGGGATTGACCCGGGGTGCTCTCTATTCTGGGCCTCACGAGCATCGTGCTCTCCCGATGCTAAGGTGCATGTCACCAATGCATAGCTTTTTCAGGGGATTCAGGCTGCCTTTCATGCATTTTAAAAGACTGACACGGAACACTGGGAGAACTGAGCCACTTAGTCCCTCAGGGTCACCTTGAACTGGAGGACCCCCGAGCTCCCTTGGGTCACTTGTCCCTTTGGTTCAGCATCCCTGTGACTTTGAGAATCTGTTTGTTCTTTGTGGCCTTTTAACACCTGCAAGATTAATAGCATAACTTTGAGGTATTAGAAAATAAAGAGGCATGAATCAGTACACTAACACTCTAAGCTTTGGAAATTCTACCATCTGTACCTAAGAGATCTGGCAATTTCTGTTGCCTTCTGTCTCACTGTCTGCTGTGGGAGTGGCAGTTCCACATACACGGTGATTTCTTGTTTCAACCCTGCACCGTGGAATAACCTTTTGGCAGACATTTTCACTGTATGCAGAAATCGGAATTTAGGTTAAAATTCAGTGGCATGGCTCACCACCAAAAATGTCACTAGGTGAACAAGCCCCTTGGATATGTGACTAAGCTACCTGTGTAGAGAAAGTGACAATGGCCTCCTTTCAACTTTGTCATCTGCCTGATGACACCAGTTGTCAGACACATTCCAATTTCAGAAACACTGAAATGTGGAAAATGTATTAGCATTAAGGAAATCCGGTGATGCCATTTGATGCTTGGATAGCAAGTGTGCATCATCGGTCTGCGGAGCTGTTCTTGCTCGGTGCTGCCAGTGGGGCCTGGCACCCGGCGGGTGTGGCTGGTCAAGGAACTGAGTCACCTGGCCAGCCTCTCTGTACTTGGCACTTCCTGGGGGCTGGTGGGCAGCAGTCAGGAGGGACCCCAGCTGCATGTCTGGGGCCAGCCCTCCCCTGCCAGCTGGGGGAGCCCTCCTTTGCCACAGTTTAGTGGGCCTGGGAGAGCCCCACCCTGGGTCGCCACTGCAGCCCTTCTCCTCTGGGGCTGGGTGGGCCAGAGTTTTCTCTCTGGTCAGTGTGGCTGTGAGGCTGGCTCTGAGGGAGGGGAGGTGAGGCGAGGTGGGGGCTTCTGTGGGAGGCAGGTGTGGTCGCTGGGGCCTCAGGCCTGCTGCATCCCCTGCAGCGTGCCCCGGGAAGTTCACGTGTAACACAGGGCGGTGTATCGGGAGCAAGCTGCGCTGCGATGGCTGGGCCGACTGCGCCGACTACAGCGATGAGCTCAACTGCAGTGAGTCAGGGCTGCGGACCAGGCCCTCTGCTCCTGCTGTGCCGGGTCCTGCCAGCTGCCCCCCAGGGCGGTGGGGAGGTTGCCTCTGTGCGGACATCAAGCCCCTATCCTCCCTGTGCTGTATGGAAGCCTTGCCTTCTGTTGGGGCAGGTGGTAGTGTTTCTGTAGCACTGAGGTTGGTGTCCATAGCCTGTAAGGCAGGGGCGCAGCAGGCCTCTCTCCAGACGCGGGAGGGATCCCCAGGCAGCCGTGCTTTCCCGGGAAGCAGGGAGAGACCGGTGATGGCTGAGGGCAGGCTCAGATCCCAGCTGAGCTATCACTCACCCCTTTCAGACTGCAATACCACCTACCAGTTCACATGCAAGAACAAGTTCTGCAAGCCTCTCTTCTGGGTCTGTGACACCGTGAATGACTGTGGGGACAACAGTGATGAGCTGGAGTGCCGTGAGTGCTTGTAGCGCGGGCATCTGGCCTTCCTTGCTTCTGACTGTCCGCTGCGGGTCCGGTCACTGCTGGGTGCTTTGTGTCTCCGCAGGCTGTCCAGCTCAGACCTTCAGGTGTGGCAATGGGAAGTGCATCCCGCAGAGCCAGCAGTGTGATGGGGAGGACAACTGTGGGGACGCGTCTGATGAGGCCACGTGCAATAACGGTGAGGCCTGGCCCAGACCACCTTTCCCTGGGGGCTTTTCTGTGAATGGGTACTGCACCCCGAGGAGGCAGCCATGAGCACACTCACAGGGAGCCTGCCCAGACTTTAATAAACCACCTGCATGTCAAGTAAGATGAGACAGGGTGTCAGTTGGTGGAGAATCTTCTGGAAGGTCAAGAGCCTTTGGTAGGAAGGCTGGAAGGACTGACATGGGTGTGGATGGGTGGGGTGGGCCTGAGTGAGGGGCATAAGGTAGGGGGGATCATCAGGCTTCTGGTTGGGAGCCATGAAGGAATTGATTCCCTCCCCCGTGCCCCTCCTGGAGCAGTGAGCATAGTCACCTGTACCAAACACACGTATCGCTGCCACAATGGACTATGTGTGAACAAGAAGGACCCTAAGTGTGATGGGAAGAAGGACTGTATCGATGGCTCAGATGAGAAGGATTGTGGTGAGTAGGGCTGCTGAATTCAGTTGTGCAGGTTGTTCACAGTGCAAGGGGCAAACAGGCAGAAAGCATGTTAGCGCCTCACTCCCTGACTCTGTCCTGGTGAGAGGGTGTGTCTGCCTAGAAGAAAGGATGACTTTGCTGACTGGCACCAAGGCCCTGTCCGTGGGCCAGCTCTGATCTTGGAGGCAAGGCTCAGAGCAGCCAGCACATTGGTGCCTCCTGGCAGGGTGCCCTGGCTGTATCCTAGGCTGGCCCCTGTTCTGTAGACCTGGCCATAGGGGAGTGGCAAGTCCCCTCCTGGAGGAGAGGTGCAGCTTACTGGAGCTCTCAGCAGGTGTTTGGCCCCACCCTGCCTGGACTTTCATTTGTGGCCTCTGTCTTTCAGAAGCACCAGCTGTAGGTTAAATTTGAGCATAGCTGCAGCTGTTCTGTGACTTCAGGTCACCCATCCGCTCTGCCTTCTGAGAGCTGTGTCCTTCAACATTCAACAAGGACATCTAGGCAAATGACACCCAAATTAAATCTAAGCAAACCAGCAGATGTCTTGAGACCCCTAAATGCATTTGCGTAGGAGTGGGAGGGAGGGAGTGTGAGGGTTTTGCATTTGGGAGCAGAGGAGAGGGGCAGGGTGGAAGCCTCTGTGGGTCTCTGGGGCCTGACGGTACTTTGTAGGGGGTCCCTTATGCCACAACTGCCCCAGCAGCACATTGGTGCCCCCCAAAAGGTGACTGCCCCACAGGGGCTGTCATGGGGCCAGGGGGTGGCACCCCACCTTGAAACACCGTCCTTCCGGTTCTGTGCCCCTCGCAGACTGTGGGCTGCGGTCATTCACCAGGCAGTCTCGGGTCGTCGGGGGCAAGAACGCAGAAGAAGGCGAGTGGCCCTGGCAGGTGAGCCTCCATGTCCTGGGCCAGGGCCACGTGTGCGGGGCTTCGCTCATCTCTCCCAACTGGATGGTGTCCGCAGCTCACTGCTTCATCCCTCAGAGCGGAATCAGGTGGGCGCTGGGTGGGAGGCAGAGAGGCCCTCTGGACTAGGGCCCTCCTTTGTGTCTTCTGGGTTGCAGAGCCCATGTCTCTCATGGCAAGATGGGATGGCGCTGGGGCCAGGGCCAGGGCTGCATGGGTGGCAGACACCTCAGGATGGGGCTTAAATACAGGGATAATAACTACAAACGCCTGCCAGGCAGTATCTAGGTGCCTCTCCTAACAACCCAATCCAGCAGGTCCAGGCATTTGCTTTGACATTTGCATGAGGTTGCATGGCTACCTAGTGGCAGAGCCAGGCTTGAACCCGATGTGTGGATTCCATGACCTTAGGGGTTAGTCTGCACCAAGGGCACCTGGGTCATTTAGGATGAGCCTCACATTCACATTCCAGCTCTGGCTTGGTGGATGACCTGGGGCAAGTTTTTCATGGTTCCCAGGCCTTGGGTTCTCTAGTGGTAATGGTGACACCTTGAGTCTTTTCCGTAGAGTTCTGAGAAATAAACACAATAACGTGCCTGAAATTCAGAGCTTTGTGCCTGGCCCAGAGGCCCACAGACACCGGCCTGGAGCAGGGAAGGTCATGAAGGGAGAGTTGTGTGGGCATCTCAGGACGGGATGAGCAGGGAGTCTGGAGGCTGGAGGACCAGCAGGAACGAGTGGCACTGGGATCTCCGTGTTTTAGCTCCAGCTACCAAGCCCTCTGGTTGCTGACTTTGGGAGCAGCCTGTAGGACAGCCTGCTCCTGGAAAAGTGGGTACCGGCAAGGGGCCTTCCTGCTGGGGGCATGTCCTCCTGCCCCAGGCAGCTGCATGAGGCGGGGCGTTGGGCAGGCAGGTGCACCACGGCATGGGTAGTGGAGGTGGCAGTGAAGGCCTCGAGGGACGGGGTCAGCGTCATTGTCCCGGGGCCTGGCTAGGCTGCTGGAGTGCAGCCTCATCCCACCTGACTGACCTTTCACTTCCCATTTTGTCATACTTTACTCCACCCTGTGTGAGAAATGATTTTCGTTCTTTTTTGGAGTTATAAGAGCTTTCTTAAGAATTTTGTACAGTAAACTATTTTGGAATACAGACCCATGGCAGAGACAGCATGGAATTCCTTCATCCCCTCTTGAGTTTCTCTTGATGTTAATGTGGTGCATTTGTCAACAGCAGGAACCTACCCTGGTCCCTCCCTGGTGACCCAGCTCCACATTTCCCTAGCATAGCGCGTTCTTACCCTCCTCTCCTTCCCACTGCTGGGGCCAGTCCGGGTCAGCACTTTGCATTCTGACCTGCTCTGGCCTGTGATGGTTTCTAGCTCTTTGTTCGTCTTGACTTTGACAGTCAGGGGCTGGGCATCCTGTGGAACGCCCCCCATCTGTGTCTGTCTGGTGTTCTCATGCTTACACTGCATTATGAGTGTCAGCAAAGAATGTCACAACCCATCAGCAGGTAAATAGCAACGTGCCCTCTCACTGCTGATTCTGATCATCTTTTGGTTCAGACAGTGTGTGCCAGCCTCCTCCACCGTGAAGGATTTCCTCCTTCTATCCTCTGTTCTTTGGAAGGGAGTCAATTTTGGAATTCTCTAAGGATTTGTCCCTTTTCCCCCATTTATTTAATTGTCTGTTTATATTTGTATAGACTTGCGTGTATTTTTCTTTTGGGTTTTCATTCAATTCCAAGTTATTTATTTTGTGGCTCAGATTGTTCCAGACTTGACCTTTGGGATCTCTCTGAGGGTGGCCTCTGTGTCCATTGACATATCCCCATTCCTTTTTTTTTTGAGCTACTTCCTTGCTTTCTAGCTGTACCAGGGGCTCTAGGCTTGCCTTGTATTTCCCCTGGTGCACCCTACAACCCACCATCTCCCAAAGGAGCCCTCTCATGGGGATGGTGTTTAGAAGTCAAGATCTGGGCATTCAGGGGCCTCATCATTACTGCAGTCCCACTGTTTCTAGATCCTCTCAGATGAGGGGCACGTCCGTGGAGTGTGTGTGTGTGTGTGTGTGTGTGTGTGTTTACTTAGTGATGCCTTTGCCCTGTGCCTTCCTTCACTGCTTCCCCTCCTCCATCATTTTATTTCTCGTTTCGTTTTCCTTCATCTTCTCTTGATCATCAATCTTAACTTCTGCCCATTAGTAGTGAATTCAGCACCCATTGTTAGTATTAGCCCTGGGAGACAAAGATAAGGGAGATTTTGTCCCTGTGCTTCAGAGACTTCTCTGGGCCGGGGGCTGGACAGGCCACACACACACACATGCAAATGCACATGTGCACACGTGGGCACACATGCATGCAGTAAGAGCTGTGCCAGAACGGTGTGCTGGGTGCTGGGGCCCAGTGTGCCTCTTTAGATTCTTCCGCAGGGTTGGGGTGGGTGACTTAGGAATGCCTTTATGAGCCGGGCTGTCTGATCTGAGTGTTGAAACATGAGGGTGTTTATCGCTGGGCAAGGTGGCTCAGGCCTTCCAGACAAAGGGAGAGTTGTGAGCTGAGAGGCAGGTGGGTGCGAAGTGTGCAAGGACCCAGAGGGCAGTTCCTCCGGTGAGTTTCTGTATCAGCAGGTGCTCACAGGGTGTCACCGAGATGTGGTGTGAAGTGGTTAAGGACACAGGCTGCCTGGGTCATGTCGTGGTCCACCACTTCTTCACTGTGTGATATTGGGCAAGTTGTTTAACCCCTTGTGCCCAAGTCCTCATCTTAAAGTGGGCAGCCCTACCTTGAGAGGCTGTTTGGGGCACAAAATGACTTCACATGTCAGCACAGAAGAGCGCTTGCTGTGCTGTCTGCTCTGTTGTGCACTACATTGTCTTCTGCAACACCGTGGCAGCTGCTGGGTGTCCCTTAAAAAACTGGTGACTAAGTCTGCTCACAGAATTGAAGACTATTCTCAGTTGTGTGATGCTTCAGAGAGAAGGCTTCACGAGAGGGGCTGAGCTGTGGCTGCAGGCTGAACAGGCTCTCTAAGGGGGGTGAGGGCATATTTCACGCTTGGACCCCAAGTGCACCATGAACTTGAATACTGGGTCTCTGCAATTCCTAGATGCCCAGTAATTACTGAGTAAACGAGGAGCTGGATGGACGAATCACAGTCGGATATGAGGATGAGGGGGAGGAGAGGTTCAGGGGTAAGGAGGAATTAATGGCTGGTGCAGAATGCCTGGCCTGGGAGGGGAGGCCCGATCTGGTAGGTCTTGGGAATCATCTTAGGCTGTTGAATAAGACAAAAGGGGTCTCACAAAAGTGCTTTTTAGGAAGTTATTATCTGGCAACAACAGAAGACTGAAGACAGACTTGAGGCAAAAGGCCAATTTGGTGTTGCGGTCCGGGTGTGGATTCCGTGGGGAGGAGGAGGGGATGGCTGGGGGTCAGCAGAGGGCAGGGAGCCAGCAGGGGTGAGGATCAGGCTTCAGGGAGGTTGGGGGTCAGTGCAGGGGGTAAGGGAGAGCGTCTGGAGGGACATTTTGTGCCTGGCCACTTCAGTAGCCTTCTTGAGTTTCCTGAGAGGTTGGAGTATGAAGCAGGTTTTTATGCTTTTCTCTGTCTTCACATATTTTCTATTTTAAAGACACATTCTCCCAATTTTCTAGTTTGAAAAACTTCAAAGCTACAGAGAAGTTACAGATACAATGAAAAAAATTACAGCAAGCACCCTCATACTCTTTATCTACATTCACTGTTGAATTTTACCACATTTGTCTTCTTTCTCCCTCTTCACACATGCGTGTGTATTTTTCGGAACTGTTTCTGAGTGAGCTGCAGCTGTCACAACATTCCTGCACTAAGCCCTTCAGCCTACGCCTCCCAGGAACAAGGGGGTCCCCCTGCATCCCTCTGTGTGGTTATCACATCCCACTGTTGACGGGGCATGGTCAGCCTGCACTGTCCTGTCTCAGATTCCCCCCAAGGCTTAAGGCTCTTTTTTTTCAGTCTAGGATCCAGCCAGGGGTCAGCTTGTATTAGGCATTAGTTCTCTCTGGTCTCATAAAACTCAAACAGTTTCTGCAGCCTCTTAATTTTGTTCTTGTGTGGCATTCCATTTCTGAAAAGTCTGGGCCACGTACTTTGTAGAACATCTCCCAGTGTGTGTGTTTTGATTGTTTTTTCATGATTAGAGTTAAGTTGCACATTTTTTTTGTTAGGAAACACTGCACGGGTGTTGTGTCCTTAGGAAGCGCATGATATCCCATTTGCGGGGATGAATGTGAGACCTGGCTGCTTGAATAAGGGGCATCCACGGGTTTCTGTATGATAAAGGCACTTTCCTCCCTTGGTTGTGAGTTAGTAACCTTGGGCGATGCTTTGAATCAGTGTGAATACGTTCCCAGCGACCTTCCTCCCAGCGGTTTTAGCCCGTGTCGGTGCTGCTTGTGTGTGCTGGTTATTGCTGTGGTAGGTGCCCAGCTTGGTACGATAAGGTATCGTTTCCTCTGTATTTATTAGCTGGTGTTTCTCTGTAGGGGATCGTTTTCCTTCTCTCTTTCTACATTGTTTTGAATTATTTTTTAGGTTCAGAGAGGGCTCATGGGTTTCTCTCTCCCTTTTTCAGCTCATATAGTAATTTAATCCTGTTTATTTTAATGTTTGCATGGTCTTGCTCTTGGCCGGTAAAAACGCCGTATCATATTGGCTCCAGCATGGATGGAGTACTTGCTTACCTCTGGTTTGAAATGAAATATTCCAGGTTTGCTTTATGCATTACTTGTCGCAGACCCGGAATCAACCTTTCTCCAAGGAGCCTGGGTTCCTTTTATGGAGAAGGGTATTTACGAACTGAGTTCTGGGTGCTCTGGGGCCTGTCCTTGCTTTGGGGCTTTTTCTCTGAAAAGCCTTGAGCTTCCCGTGCCGCCTCTGATTGCTCCAGCCCCCGGCCCCCTCCGCTCCTCCCTCCCCTCGTCTGTATCTCTCTCTCCTACTCCGAGCACCAGCACCGGCTGCTGGCAGCATCAGTGTCTCGTCCTCGTTTGCTCAGTCCTCCTGTAGACATGACACTTCCAGAGCTGCTACATTTACCCTGTCACCAACCACAATTCCAGGAGATGAACTACTTTTCAGTTCATTTTGTTCTTAGAATACACACCACTGTGTGAAAAAAGTGGACCGAGTTCTGTGTTATTCCTTCTGTGAAAGGCCAGATTAATAGGATATGTATTTTTTGGTAATCAGATTAAAATATGCTGAAAGAGGAAAACCAAGAGATAAAGGGGGCTGAGTGGTATTGGGCGGGCGTCCCATGGCTCCTGGGGGTGGGCGCTCATCCAGGCGGCCCCCGCGCCTCCTTGCCCAGGTACTCGGACCCCGCCGTGTGGACCGCCTTCCTGGGCCTGCACGACCAGAGCAAGCGCAGCGCCCGCGGGGTGCAGGAGCACCAGCTCAAGCGCATCATCGTCCACCCGTCCTTCAATGACTTCACCTTCGATTATGACATCGCTCTGCTGGAGCTGCAGCAGCCGGCCGCGTACAGCAGCACCGTGCGGCCCATCTGCCTGCCTGATGCTTTGTATGTCTTCCCGGCCGGCAAGGCCATCTGGGTCACAGGCTGGGGCCACACCCAGGAGGGAGGTGAGCTGGGGCCTGGCTGGGAGGGAGGATGGGCTGCCCAGCGGGATAGCAGGAGGGCAGGCTGGGCCGGGTGGGCCCGGCTGTGGCCCTCGGTGTCTGGGGGATCTGCGTGAGTTGTCTCTTCTCTGAGCCAGCTTCTTCATTTTCCTCTGAAATGAAGATAAAAGTACCTTCCCAAATGGTGCCTGGTGAATGCAGGAACACTTGTGGAAACACTGTGATTTAGAGAGGCCTGTGTCAGGATCCTTCAGGGACTGGCCTCTGTCCTGCCTTCATCTGAAGGCCGTTAGCTGTTAATGTTATATTGAAAAAACCAGTTATAATACAAATACGCTGCTGACAACCTATAGAATATAGAGGGGAGAAAGCAAACCTGACTTAGGGTCCCACTGCCTTACCGACCGCTGTGGGCATGCGGTGCTTTCTTCCCATCTCCTGGTCCTGTTCTTATACGGCCCTCCCGTGGTCTCCATTCCATCTCCTACCCCATCTTCTACCACCTGGTGGGTTTTCAGCATGCCGCCTGATTACTCATATGGCTGCACAATATCCCATCCTGCTAGTGTGTCGTGAGCTTTTTAGCCGTCTGTCAGGCGTTTGGGTTTTGCTGTGAGGCTACTCCCTGGGGACACCGGGATGGTGCCTCCCCACGTGGCATCGCTGCTGTTGGAGCGCGGCCGCCGGCTCAGCCTGCCCCGCCTCGTCCCCAGGCTCAGGAGCGCTGATCCTGCAGAAGGGAGAGATCCGCATCATCAACCAGACCACCTGCGAGAGCCTGCTGCCGCAGCAGGTCACCGAGAACATGATGTGCGTGGGCTACCTCAGCGGCGGCGTGGACGCCTGCCAGGTGGGCCGGCGCGGCAGGGCGGCGGGGGGCTGGGGGCAGGCAGAGGCACTCACGCAGAAGGGCCTGTCTCCCTCAGGGTGATTCCGGGGGACCCCTGTCCAGTGTGGAGGCCGATGGGCGCATCTTCCAGGCTGGTGTGGTGAGCTGGGGTGACGGCTGCGCTCAGAGGAACAAGCCTGGCGTGTACACGAGGCTCCCTGTATTTCGGGACTGGATAAAGGAGCAGACTGGCGTGTAGATGTGGGGCTGTCACCGGCCGCCTCAGCGTGCACACCTGCAGGCTGAGGGCAGGATCACTAACCACACCCTGCCTTGGGGCCCCCCAGCCCCCAGACTGTGACCTGAATCCCCAGGACTCTGGAGACGGCAGATGGGCCCCCGTAGCCCCCACAGTGGGTCAGGGGGTGCGGAGCAAGGACGCTGACGGGGGCGGTGTTTGAGGATACAGCCTCTCCTCCTAGCCCCAGCTGGGCCGAGGCCCTTTCCTGAAGTTGGACTTCCTCTGCCCCTCCCACACGGGAGCAGCCCTCACGTTGTCTCTGGGCCCCCTGGGGTGGGGCTGGTCAGGGCCCAGGGGCCCCAGGTCCCACTCTGCAGGAAGCCCAGGCCGGAGCACCCAGGAAGACAGTCAGGTCTAAGATTTGAATTGCTTTACCAGCTGCGGAATGGGTTCAATGTGTGCATTTGTGTGTGTGAGTAAAACATTTTATTTCTTTTTAGGTAAATGTTTATTCTTGAGTCAGTGGGCTTCCCTCCTTCTTCCTAACCCCAGTTGCAAGAATTGGTTTAAACTTCCCTCAGCACAGACTGTGGTGTTAGATGAAGTGCCCTGGGACCTTCTCCAGGCCAGCAGGGGGCTGGTTCTGCTGGTACCCCTATAGGAGGGTGCAGAGGGGAGACAGGGGTCTGGGATAAAGGCATGGGTGGGGAGGGTGGGTGGTGGCTGTTCAGCCCATGCACCCAAGTGGGTGGAGCTTTGTCCCAGGAAGAAAGGAGGAAGTGGGCCATTCCGCTAGGTGGGAGGAGGTCCTGTGAGCGCTGTGTGTGTGTGTGTGTGCTAGCACACACAGACGTGAGGGTGTGTGTGAACTCCTGGCTGTCCAGTGTGGGCTCAGTGGGTGTGTCTGGGGCCTTGCAGGACTGATGCTGCCTTGCATAAGGGTTCCCATATCTCTAGAGCCATCCTCCTTTGGTTTTAATTTACTAATTAAGAATATTCTCAGTCCCCTTGCTGGGAGTGACCCAGAGGGACAGTGTCAGGGATCTGGGGAGGGCTTAGGGAGTTCTCGGGGGGACGTTTGAGGGCACTATATATTGTATATATGCCAAGGCACTATATGAGCTGGGACAAGGGGTGAGGAGCAGACCTAGGAAGAGAAATTCAGTGGCCAGTGTCATGAGGGAAGCTCAGGCCTGGTTTCTAGAAGATGCTAATACATCATTTATTGAATGAATGGTCTTTACCTTTCGGGAATTTTGGAAACCAAAGGGAGGAAAGATGCAGTCTGATTAGAGCAATCTGGACAGACTTCTTGGAGGAGGTGAGCTGCTGCTTTCATTTTAGCCTGAGTCTTTTCCCTGCTGGAGGGAAGAAGTTTTGACACCTGTGCAAGCATCCATGTTGGGTTTTCCTTCCAGGGAAGGGAAAGTGCATCTATTCTCACCAAGGTGTGTAAAGTATAGGAATGAAAATGCTACAGGAAGACCCCTGTTCAGATGGCGCCATGCTGTGAGGAGCTGATGTGTAGAAAGAGGCTTTACCTGTTGTCTGCTTCCTCAGTACTCGTGCCCCTCAGGCAGCTGGGCCCTGGCCCAGGTGTGGGACTGGTTGCCCACACGGTGTGGTTCGGGGAGGCCTGCCTGGCCTGTGCCCGCCCCAGAACCCTCATTCTCCCACCAGGGTCTGACATTGTGTTGAAAATGCCCTTCCCGGGTCAGAAACACAGGCAGGTCATCAGAAGACTTCACTGTCAAACGCCTTTGTCTCCACATGGCCCAGGGTCTCTCTGTGACCCCCTGTTCCAGTTTACTGTGGTTTCTCAGGCTCCCTGTCTTCCACCTGGGGAGCGGGATGAAGAGGCGGTGGGTCGCCCTTCAGGGTCGCCCCTCCCTCTCCAGGAGTGTCAGTGGCATGTCTGTCGGGGGACAAGGCAGGCATATCATCCACGCATGTTCTTGCAGCATGGTGCCTGGGTCCGGAGCATTGGCACCCCTGGGAAGTCCCCGGCACAGATCCTCGTGCTCCGCCCAGACGTCCTGCATCAGAGCTCCGGCGGGGCCCAGCACTCTGCTTTCACCAGTCTTCCAGGGGCTTCTGCTGCACCTAAACTCTGAGAGACTCAGGTTCAGCAGTGTCTCTGCAGGCTGACAGCACCAGCCTTGCCGGCAGGGCCCAGGCCACACACCCAGGGCTCCGGTCTGCAGGCATGTCCTGCAAGCCTCAGACTTGGTGCCTGGAAACTCAACAAAGTTTCAATGCCTTTCAAAAGACTGGAGCTAAGTCCAGTGTTACTTCTGCTGGGAGGGAAGAAGAATGGTCTGAGTCCTTAACTAGCTGGAAATCAAACTCTTCTCTCTGAGGCTCGTCACTGATGTCTCCAATGAAGAGCAGTCACTGGTACTCAGATGCTGCTGAGCTGACAAAGGGAGTGACAACCGGCCGCGTTCATCCCTCCCTGCTGAGGACATATAGCGGGGGCCCCTGCATCGACTGGGATGCATGCAGTGGGGCGAGAGGCCTGTGTGGGGCAACTGCTGGCCGACCTTTCCTTCACTCCAGGGAAGGGCTGTGGAGAAACCAATGACCAAAACTGTTTGGCACACATTTGCGTTTTCTGCCCAAGAACTCTACAACCTGTCCAAGTGTATGATGGGAAATTGAACTTAATGCAGTCTGCTGTGGTTGAAGCCAGGTCCACAGCACAGGATGAACGTGCACCCCGGGGCGTACTCCTGCAGTCACACCCTGGAGTAAAGGAGGTGGGGACAGCATGGTGGACCTCGTCGCACCCTCAGCAAGGCTGTCACCTGGGCAGTCACGAGACCTCTGCCCTGAAGGGCCCGGCACGTGTTTAATGCTCTGTTACCTTTTTTAAATTTGTAATTTTTGAACAAGGGACCCCACATTCTGTTTTGTACTGGGCCCCACAAATCAGGTAGCTGGTCCTGTAGCCTTATGCTCAGGGCCATTCTCTGGCATCCTAAGGTTTACAGGTGTGAACTGGGTGAGAGCAGGTCAGAGCAGGCCCGAGGTGGGTGGAGCAAGGCTGGAAATCCCAGCTGCACGGGACTCCTCCCAGCCCCCTAGCTGCTGCCCTGCTGTGTGGGCTCCAGGGGGAACTCAGGCCCCTTTAGCAAAGCCGGTGAAGGGGACCCTGGCAGCTTCTGTGCGTGTGGCACCCACAGACTCCGGTGTAGCTGAGGGCTGCAAAGTGGGAGGAGGAGGGGGCGGGGCCAGTGTGAGGGCTCCGTGGGATTCCCAGTCCCAGGAGCTGAATTCCCTGGCAGAAACCCAGGCTTCCCAGCGCAAGGGCCCAGTGCTGTGGGCTGGGTCCCCCGCAAGCTCAGGGAACCACTGCAGGGGCTTTTCCTGACTGACTAGCCCTTCTCAGTTGCTAGGATCTCGAAACGATCCATTTCTGGTCCCTTCAAACTACCTTGTATCTCAGTTGCCTTAGCCACCAATCAAAAACATTTAAATTACTTTAGTGAATGTTTAATCCCATTGCATGGATAGGAAGTCTGACCCAGACCTAGATTCTGCAGGAACAGTGAGATTTGGATTAGTCAGGACAGGCTTTGTAAATAAGGTAAAGGTCTGGTTTCGACTCCAGAGACCCACAAGCCCCAGAATGGGGAGGCTGGGTGGACGCTGTCCTGCCTCCAGGGGGCATTACAGGACCTCGCTCCGGGCGGGTGGGGCGTGGGCATGAGCTCGCACTCACGGTGGGGGGTGGGGCGGGGGCGCTGCTCACTGCCTCAGGGGCTGTGGGAGGATGGTGAGGAGGTGTGGGGGCAGACCCCAGGTCCAACCGTTCTTGGGGCCATCTTGAGCTGCATGCAGTAGAGCGGTGCCCATCTCGGGGTGGAAATGTAAGAGGCCCCAGCGCGAAGCCTTTCCTGTTCAGTCCTTTTCCCCCGTAGTCCCCTGCCCCAGTGCAGTCAGGACCTGCTGGCCCTCACAGGGACTGGAGGACATATGTCCCCTGGGCAGAGTCAGAGACAGCTTTTGAAGTTGAGAACAGAGGTGACCTGTGGCCAGGACGGGGGTGACATCTCAGAGTGTTGCCCCACTGAACACTTGCATTTAGCAGACAGCTGCCACATACAGGCATTTCCAGGGAAGAGCCAGGTGCATGTTTTAGGGATTGGGCTCCTGGTCCTGGGGATAAACTGATTAGAATGTGCCACAGGTATGTGACCCTGCTGTCACACCAGGACTCCCTCTCCCTCCCCAGGAGACCCCAGCTGCCTACAGACTAATTCAGGGGGCCTTACCACTTCTTGTTGGATGTGATGAAATGATGCTTGTCACTTTCCCAGGCATGGAATCATGGGTGTGTGTATGTGTGTGTGTGCGTGTTGCATGCTTGCTACCACATGTAAGGGAAATTGGATCTTTAAGCCAGTGGTCCTCAGATGTTTGAGTTTCTCGGCTCCATTAAATCGCAAGAGGATGCAGATCCAACATACGCATTGACGGAAGAACGCCTCTAAGAATTCTGCATGCTTCACTTGTCGTATTTAATTTGAGCCTCACAACAGCCCTGTGGCCATTCCCATTTTACAGACAGAAAATTGAGGAATCAGAAATTTAAATAGCTGCCTAAGGCCCCACGTTCAGGAAAGACTGGACGTAGGGTTGAGGGCTCGTAATCTGGTTCTGGAGCCAGTACTCTTAGGTACTATGTCACCGTAATCTATTTTTATTCCTACACCATCATTTCATAAAGAAAGGTGATTTTCACACATTGAATGAAGATAGACTGCACTCTCAGGAATCTGGTGGACCGGCATTTGGGAGCCACTCCTCTAAACATGCTTCCCCATTTATTTAGGGAATCCTGACAAACCTAGTCTCGTGACCTTCCTGCCATAAGGCCTGTTTTTAGGCTGGGGTTTGCGCGAGGCTGGTAATGACCTTGTCTTCCATTCCGACGCACTCTGCCAGCCTGGGTGGAGTGCCGCTGCTTCCTGGGTCCCTGGGGTCCACCTTGCAGGCGGGTGACTTCCGTTTGCCATCATACCAGCTCCATTTGGCCAGTAAGGGCAGTTGGATGAGACCAGGAAGGGAGGAGTGTTTTTTGGAAGAAGGTGGGGAGATAACTGTTATTCCAGGTCCCTGGTCACTGGGCTGGCAGGGTGACAGTCAGAGAGCTTGGAAATCCACCCAACTCCACTGAGGATGATGAGACCAAACCCCAGAGCAGGCATTTGAATATTTCCCACCTGCTTCACATCTTGGGATTACCTAGAAAATGGTTCAAACTGTTCTTCCCCGAGATGGCAAACACTGGCGCTGGCAACAGGGAGGAAAGATGTCAGAGTTTGAGCAAGTGGCCATTCCTGTGCACCTGGCCCAGCCCTCCTCTGGGATGGGCCCTCCTGAGTGCACGCAGAGACAGGAGAGAAGAGGGAGCTGCTGTGCCTACTTGCAGGGAAGGGCAGGAGCAGCAGGCGCCGGCTGAACACACAGGCTTTTCCTGCCTCCGTCCAGCATCGCTGAGGGCGCGTGGCTTTGAGTGGCAGATTGGTGCTTGTGCGCGCGAACTGCTGGATGGTCTGTGCCGGCAGTAACGGCACCGCACTTGGATGAACAAATCTTTCATTCTTCGTTTCCTGTTTCTTCTCAACAAGGGTGTATCCTCCCAAGCTCTGTCTTCCTGTGTCTGCAGCGTGGGGACTGGACATTTACTCTATCCTTTCCCCTCACCTCCAATCGTTTCCTAAAAGGCCACTGTTTAGAGTTGTTTGCAGGCTCAGGTGGAATGAATTCTGTTCCATTGTCTCCAGATCTTCCAGTGGGACGGATGTGTATTTTCCTGGGATGTCAGCCTGACTTTCCCTTCCCCTTGGCTTTCCGTGATTTCTCTCCACCACACGCCCACTTCACCTTGGAGTTAGTTATCATTATTTTCCCTGCCCACACCCCTGTGATCAAGAATAACTCAGTCTCTATGCCAGGCCCCTCTGCTGGAACTTCATGTGGATTTGTTTAACTCAGGAAGGAAATTTGACCATCCTTAGCCTGTGCTCTTTTTCCAAAGAGCTACAAGGACACTGGCGTGTGTGCGGTGGTAAGGCCGGGTCCGGCAGGAAGGACCAAGAAACTCATTCCCTCTCCCTCTCCCGCTCTCCACCCAGAAGTGTTCAGAGAACAGTTCCCCAAAACAAGGCATCGGATATGTCTTTGAATTTCAGTCTAAGTGCTGGGAAGTATCAAATAGGACAGGAAAAATTTGTAGAAATAGTTTAGAAAAAAATTGAAATCTATGTTTGAGACATGCGACTGTGGCAAAAAAGGTAACAAGCTTCTTTATATGGGCCAGAGGAGAAGATGAGGAAAGACGGCATTCAGTAATTCAACAAGCTTCTGCCGAGGGCCGCCCTGTGCCCTTCGTGCCTGGGGAGGGCAGCTGATGTGGGACGTGGGGCTGCTCCATGCTCCGAAGGCCTGAGGGCCCAGAAAGGGCCTAGGAGTTCACGTCCGGTGGATGTGTGGTCCAAGCACCGCCCAGGCCGGGTACAGGGGAACGGGCCTCCGCCACGGCTGTTCCGCCAGGCTCCAGTTGCTCACTGAGAATCATGTCCTGGGGTAACAGCTGCCTGAGGGGCACCCTTCAGAACTGGAAGAAGACCACTACTCACCCTCACTGTTGGGAAGAACTTCAAAGGTCGCATAGGCCAACTTGCAGCCGAGGAATCTCGGTCCCCTCCTGCTTGTTGTGAGACCAGGCTCATGGTGACTGGGAGCTCACGGCCCCCCAGCCCTCTCTATACCCCTGCCCTGCAGGTAGTCTGGGAGTTGTGATGGCCGTCTCTCCCCACAGGATCTGCGAGGTCATCTGCTCCAGTAATGTAGAAGAAGTGTGGGTCCTGGCCAGCAGCATGGACCGAGGGCCTTCTGTACATCAGCCCCCTACGTCCTCAGCACAGGCCACAGGGTAGATTTATCATTCCTGGTTACACCAGAGGAGACGGAGGCCCCGAGGGGGCACTGTCTGCTCAAGCTTTCTCAGTAAGGGAAGACGAAGGAAGCAAACCCAGTTGCTGACCCCTGAGCCTGTGCGGTTAAATCTGCACTGCCTTCTGAAACCAAGCACCCTCCACCTGAAGCTTGACAGGGTGCATCCAGGACCTCTCTTGACAGGTAATAAGCTCACTGGCTTAGCACATACGGAAGAGGCCAGAGTGAACTTTTGACGAGCTGGACTCTGAAATGGATCCTTTAGCATTTCAAAATCTTTCCCATTCCCATTTTCTTGGCTATCCCCAGCAGTTCCCGGGCATTTCCCTTTCTTAGAGGCCAAACCATCTGCTTTCTCTTATTCCTCTGCCTGGGGCCAGTGTGGACTGGAGGGAGAAAATGTTTCCTTGAGGTCTTGGCCATTGGCAACAGAACAACATGTTCTGCCCTGAGGTTCAGAAACATCCCTCATCTTCCTCCCTGGAACCATTCATTTTTGCCAAATGTGGCTTTGCCTTGGGAGAAGCTTAAGCAAAAGGAACAGAAGCCAAAATGATGGGGGTACCTTGGCTTGGAGTCGTGAGCGGAAAAGAGGATGACAGAAATTCTGCTGACACTATGGCGCGTGTCCTGGCTCTGCCAAGCCCCGGGAAATCCCCTTTGCGCATATTTTTTTCCAGTCTCCAAGAACACCCACAAATTGAGCCTTTGTGTGTGTGCGTGTGTGTAATGGGGACAGAAAAGTTTCTGGATCACCAATGACAAGGATTTCACTAGGACCAAGGGAAATGTAGCAACCAGAGCTGAAAATACAATTTTGTTCTAGCAAAAGGTTTTTGAAAAATAAATGAGTAACAGTTTGAACTGTTTCACCGGGTATTTATTTTAAACCAACACTTTTTAATTTGGTTAAAAAAAATTTTTTTTTAA